GGCAGACCAGCAAGACACTGAAATAATTAAGGCTGTGGAATTCTTCTGCACCTTGAAAATATAGAGCTATTTATCAATACTGTGGAGTGATTTTAAATCAACTGTTACAAGCCTGATGGAAGTATGTATTTATATGTATATGTGTAATGGTCCCTATGGGGAAACCTGTCCACTTATGGATAAGGCCGTTTATCTGAATGGCCAGAGAAGCCCACCCCAAACTCTCAAAATACTTGAGGGGGGCAGGGGTCACTCAAAACCAAGAGATGCCAATACAGTTGGCAAACCAACTATTAATAATTCAAATATAAAGATAGTTCTAAGTCTGGGTAAACAGAATAACCTACATGATGGCCCTGTTAGGTTTCACACGGGCTTTGTCAACTTCAAAAGACGGCAAATTGTTCCCGAATGAGTAGAATTGGCCTCCACAAATTAGCCCTAATGGTTTTGAATGGCCTTAAATGGTTTTCCAATAGAAAAATTGACCCACCTGGGCTGTCTGCAAATGGATAGATTTCTGCATATGAGCAATAACATATACATACATATTATACACTATATACATGTACAGAAGTACATATATCTGTATTTTCCAACAGTTTGCACTTTGATCACTACTGTTCTCTGAATATGATCACACTCTGAAGAGTATGTTTAGTTTTTTCACAGTCTTCATATTTGTCCTAACTACTATTTTTACTCACTTTCCCCATAGAGTAGGCTGGAGTTTGGCAGAAACAGAGGTAAAAGCACCAGGGTCAAAAAAATCAAACAGATAGATGACAGATATGGCTTAAGTAGGTAAGAGAAGATGTATATTAATTTCAAATTCATAGCCACAGTCTTTGAGGTCACGGTAATAGTCTCCATAATGCTCTACCATGAATTCAGTTCTTGATGGAAGCCATGTATTGATGGAGCTCCTAAGCTGGCTATGCCTAGGCTAGCAAATTAGCTTGGTTAAAATAAACTCAGGACTTGGCATTCCAAGAGCTGTTGTTTGTACTTTTCCCTCCACTCCCTCCTTTCTCAGCTTACCTCACTATCTCCAAGAAGTTATCTAACTAAATCATTATCTCGACCATTTGAGTAAAAACTAAATCTGACCACATTTTAGAGTCTCCCAGCAAGTAGGCGGACAGGAAAACACAATAGCCTGTGAGTATTAATTTCAGGCTTTCTGTAATGTCTTTTAAAAATGAAAAATTGTTTCAGAGTGATTGCTTTTTCCCCCTCTCCTGCCTATGTACTAAAAAGGAGGAAGAAATGCCTTTCAGAGAAAATATGGCCCCATGATGTTTCTGAGTTCTGCTATTTTTGTATAAATTTCTCATGTGGAGGTCAGGCATGGTGGTTCACTCCTATAATCCTAGCACTCTCTGAAATCAAGGTGCGAGGATCACTTGAGCTCAGGAGTTCAAGACCTGCCTGAGCAAGAGTGAGACCCTATCTTGATTGAAAACAGAAAATTAACTGGCTATTGTGGTGATTTCCTGTAGTCCCAGCTACTTGGGAGGCTGAGGCAGGAGGATTTCTTAAACCCAGGAGTTTAAGGTTGCTGTGAGCTAGGCTGAGGCCACAGCACTCTAACTAGGCAACAGAGTGAGAGTCTGTCCCCAAAACAAAAAACGTCACCTGAATAATATTTCCTATTAAAAATAACTAGTGCTATGAACAAATTTCATCCCTTTTTAAACCTCTGGAATTAATGAAACAACTGAGAGCCTTATCTGTTTTAGAAAATAAATATTACTATAGTAGCTTCCTTATCTTGATGGAGCATGTGTGAGCGCTGACTTCCCTAAGCCCACTGTGGGTTTAATCATTCATGCCTAAATGATCCCTGGACTTTAAACAGTGAAGAAAAATCCTGATGCAGTTTTACAAATAAATCCCCTGAACGCTCATAGCCTGTGTTTGCCTAACCCAGACTCCACGGACATGGTACCCAGGAGAGAAGGAACTAAAGTCTACATTCCTTAAAACACATTCAGTGCAATTCACCAGCCGCCCAGAATAAGGAAACGGTGAGTTTGCACTTTTGCTCTATTACAGAAACCCCTTATATTCAAAATGCTTCCTCCTCTATCATATGCATGGGACAAAGTTCTAGTTAATGCACAGAAATAACCACCATTTAGTTTATACTATATTTGCTCCCTCATATTCTCACCAATCTAAATTCCCATGCTCTTCCATATAGGCAAAAAAAAAAGGTAATGAGTAACTCATAGGTACTAAATCAGGGAGGTTATGGAACAGCAAATATGCTACTCTCAAAAGACTTAACCATCTTAAAAAAAAAACGCAAGGTTTTCCCTCCAAAAACTAACAGTCCAATTCATTTCTGTGCATTTAATTTGCCTCTTATGATCGATTCCGATGAGACTGTGAAAAGTGAATGGTCATCACGGGAAGGTGTTTTGTTCTCATTTCCGCCCCTCCCAGGGAGGAAAGTGGCTCTTTGGGGTCTTCCCTGTCCATTTTTCCAGAGCACAAAGCGTGAGAAGAGAAGGTAGCGGTTACACTGGAGGGCATCTCACTCTTCGCATCTGCCATAAGAAATACTGGAGAAAACTGGTGATGAATGTGAGATTACAGCAGCTTTCCTAACCCTTTCTGTAGACAAGCTCTTCAATGATCAAAATTAGAGGCTAAGACTAAGTAACATTTAGACAAAGAGCACCTGGTACTTCCAATGGAAAGCAATTTGCAGTATTTCATCTTATGAGTTTGTAACTGGTATCTGAAAGATATAAATATGGAAAATCTGGAATGTTCAAAGTTACTCTCAATAAAATTCTTAGCACTGGCAGTGTGTAGCACTTTAAAAAATCAAAGTATTTTATGGATGTCTCAACCGAGGTCATTTCTCAGCATTCCTGTGAGATTCGTGTCCTCCCTTTGTCTCCTCCCCACGACTCCCTCTTTACCAATGGGATCTTTGGGGCAGGAGAACACAAAGACTTTCTGTAAGAAAAGATGAATCAGGAATAGCTGAGGTTGAAACTCAAGAATTCCTGGTCCCACCCTATCTTCAGATGTTTTCATTGAAAGATGTTTGGGGATGAAGTGAAACGCTGCAGTATCAGTAAACCTACATGCAGTGAACCTCATCCTCGCCCATCCTCCCTCTGAAAGGCACTACTGTTTATAAAGGCTCTGCGAGCCACAGAGCAGCGAAGCCAACGTTCTCCTCTGCTTCCTCTGTTTCCCCTAAACTTGGTTATGGCTGAGACAGACCGGAAGGGCACCTTCAACAATAGTTTTCTTAAAAATCTCTAAGTGGATATAAATCTATTTAATTTGAAACGAATGTAAGAGATACAGGACATCATTATACTTCATAAAAGTTACCATGGGTTGTCCCTGATCTTTTCTTTCTTTCCACATCCACCCTTATGAAGCAAAACAAAACAAACCCAAATCCTATGCAATGGATAGAAGCCAAGCAAGAAACCTGTGACTTTGACCATTATTTGTTTTTTTTCCATTTACCTGGAAGTTCACGCCCACTAAGAACTACCGTAATTATAGTAGAAGTGGACTATTTTCTCTTTTTTCCCCTCTTCTCGATGACCAAGTCCTCTCTGCCAAAACAGGGACAAAAGGTTTCTGAGCCTTCTCTTTCGTCACGGTTGCCCATAGAGAAACCTACAGTACATTTCCCAGCCCCGTCTTCTGGAATTCCTTGTTATTTCCAACTTGCCATGGAGAATTCTCGGACCAAGAACAGTATCTTATCCCTGTTGGAAAGGACCAGGAGCTTGCAGACAGGGAGCCTCCCTATTAGTTTTCTTCAGTTATCAAACTAGATAAAATATACTCACTTTCTCTTAGGGCCTCTATTCAGTTTCCTCTATTCTAATGATTGTACTTTGGCTCCAGTTAACAAAATTCTACTACTTTTCTATGTCCCTCCTCTCCTGTCCTTTCACTTCCTCAGCACGTGTACTGGAGGGGATTCCCTGCAGCCCCACATCTGGATCATCCCAGCTGTGATGTAAAAGCTGACACAAAAGCTCGAGCTCCAACATTCTGTCCCAATCATGCTGTGCCTTCCCCACAGCACAATTTCAGTCATGCCCTCCTGCCACAGTCTGTTCCTAGGCCTTGTCCCTCTAGAGCAGAAACTCAACTCATAAAAATTCAAGATGACTCCGCAGAGAGCTCTTGATTCAAGTCACGAGTAGCAGTGGAACAGCGCTTGTCATATCTATGGTCACTGGAATCCCCAGAGCCTGAAGCCTATCCTGTGACCAACCCTATGGACCAGGCTGTCCTCTTTCCTGCTGTGTACCGTAATGAGGACATGTTTACTAAAAGAGTTTTTAGTAAATATGTTTAAAATGTTTAAATCTTGTATCACATAGTATTTGTACATACATAAAGGATCAAATGACAATTATGGCAGATGAGTCCAGAGAGAGATCTGAGAGAGTGAGGCTTGATGACCCAGGGCCACTTAGAAACTAGGAAACAAATGCAGTCAGAGTCGGTTTCCACATATTTGGTTAATTCTGAAAATACTAAGTGCTATTTAGTCTTATTGCTTATACTTTCTATTAATTTATTAATCTAGAATCTTGGACGGGATGAGGTGGAGGGTGGATGAGGAAGCTGACTTCAAAACCAATGGAAAAGAATGATAAGTATTTTTCACTTTACATTTCCACTGTGAGAATAAATGTTTTTATGTATAAAAGTTCAGGCTTAGTTTCCACCATATCTTTTTCATTGAAATAGGTTTGCGGCTCTAGTTAGCCTTCATAAATTCTCTGCTCGCACTTCTGTGTGGCATGATTTCACTTTCTCAATCCCATTGTAGGAGAGAAGCAACGCCATTAAACCTGATTTGAACAAACACTTGAGTTACACTTTTTAAAATATGATTTGCATAATAGCAATCTTCAAAACACAACTAGAAAGCAAAGGATGGATCATGTACAAACACAAGAAATAAAAACTCCCCCACCCCCAATAAACAAAAAGAAAAACCATGAAATGCCCAGGTTTAATTTCTTTTTCCACCAGAGGGAAAAAAACGGCAATTAATAATAATCTTGTGTGAAGAATATACACCAGGAAGCAGCATCGGCCTCAAAGTACAATAAAGTCCTTTTAGTCCAGAGAAATATCGGCAGCTGAGTGGTGATAGGTATTGCAAGCTCAGTTAAAACTCAATGCTCTGTTAGAGTCATGTATCAGGTTTTGCTCCATGGCTTTAAAAAGGACTTAGGACCAGGCCTTTAAAAGGCCTATATGGCTGCCTCCTTTTGGTAAGCACCCCTTAGCTTCAATAAGGAGTTAGAAATAAAGCAGGCCAACTTTCTGATTGTATTCTACGGGTGTAGAAGAAATCAGAAAGTGATGGTAGCTTGTTCGTAGCAACTGTAGTTTTTATTTGCCCTTTTTTATGAACCTGTTGTATTCATTTAACTATTTCTAACCAGGTGTAGACACAAAAATAGCCCCACAACTCCTACGGTATTCAAACTTATTTCCTGGCAGGATTTCTTGCCAGATGAACTCTGAACTGCATTTAGGAGTAGCGTTTCGTATACAGAACCTATCTTAACCAAATAACCTGTGACGGACAGAACCAAATCTTCTCATTCAGATTGCCAAAGGTAACATTGCTTTCTCTTAAAGCACAGGTTCTGGTAAAAGATTCTGTACAAGATTTATAAAATGCTCTAAAAAACTTGTCATCTAATTGTGCTTAGTCAAAACAATATAATGTTTCGATAAATAAATTACTGTCTTAACTGGAGCACTCAAAGTTACTTATGATTGATTTAATATATATCTCTGTATTATAAAACTCTGAAACCTGCACGGGATATACTAAACTGTATGTGTATATGTATCCTATTAAGAAACTATAAGTATCTAAATCGGAATGGTTGACATACATGACGTCTCTGTTAAATAGAACTTTTTGCTTAAAATTCCAGCAAAGGGGGAAACCTTTTGTACTCACTGCAGAGAGCTAAAGGTTTTCCCAGTTAACCACTGATTTGGAACATACAATTAAAATTTTACAACAGCTAACGTTCTTGTTATCCTTGCCCTTCTTTTCAATGCTTTCTGTGACTCTTTGCATCTTTATTTCTTCAGAATGACCTTCTGGAAAGCCCCTGGATTTAGGGTGACTTTTACTGCTGCTCAGACCCTGAATAACCACTGAAGAGGTTTAAGAGGTACAGCTTTATATCTGCTCAATCCAGAGAACCAGAGTGAAATAATGCACACAGTTATTTACAGACAGAGTCAGTCTTGCTTTGGCTCACACTGCACTTGTATGTGAAACCTCAGGGCCCGGGAGGTGGCTACGTCCCCTGGTTCACGCGGTTGACGATGTAGCTCTTGACGTTGGGAACAGGCCGCACATCGTTCTGGTGCTTGCGGCGTTCTATGAAGCACGCCAGGCGGGAGGTGTCCAGGGGGATCTTGGAGTAGCTGCCATTGTGGGGCTGCAGCCATGGATGCTGCAGGCAAGTGGCCGCTGTGGGTCGCCTCCGGAAGTCCTCCTGTAAGATGACATTGATGAAATCTCGGGCAGCATTGCTCACGCCACAGAAGTACTCGTGGGGAAAGCTGAAGTCCACCCTGCAGACATTGATGCAGGTCTCCTCTTTGCTCTCATCCAAGAAGGGGGAGACCCCGCTCAGCATGACGTACGTCAGAACCCCGATGCTCCAGATGTCTGTGCCCAGGGAGACAGGGATGCCTTGGATCACTTCTGGGGCAGCGAACTCGGGGTTCCCCAGGAGGTGGTGGATGTGGAAGTGACCCGAGATTTGTACAGCATCCTCCAAGTCAATGAGCTTCACTCGAGGCACCGGAATCCGCAGGTCAATGAGCAGGTTTTCAGGCTGCAGAGATCCAAGGAGGCGGGGACAAGAGAAGAGAAGTTGAATTCTCCGCTTTGACTACCAGTAGGACCCTGTGAGTCAAACACCGCTCTGCTGGGGCCCACCACACATGGAAAATTCCCTATGCAGAGTGCTTAGGAGGCTTCAGACTATCAGCCTGAACTGACTACACACTTGAGTGTGGGTGGTACTTCAGAGAAGCTGTGTGACATCAGACACTGGGGCTTCTTCACTACCCTTTGCTTCTGCATTAAATCCAGAAAAGAATGAATTACTCATTTGGAGAACAGGGTCTCCCTTTTGAGCAACAGGAAAGAGAAGTTGACATTGATTGGCTGTCTCCTATAAAGTTAGATTGGGTAGGTAATCTTCCCTCCCTCCTCTCACACCAGATGTCATTGTGACTCTGGTAGGTTCTCATTAATTCATGAGAAATGTACTTAAATTGTGTGACAACCTGGTTTCTGTTTGTTAGTCATCAGGATTCTAATTTAAGTAAATAAAATGAATTCAAATTTACATTCCTCAGAGGTTGGATTTAGCTGTTTCCCTGCAAATTCTTGCTATTTCTTTTATTTATTTAGAGACACAGTCTCACTCAGTCCCCCTTGGTAGAGTGCTGTGGCATCATACCTCACAGCAACCTCAAACTCTTGGGCTCAAATGATCCTCTTGCCTCAGCCTCCTGAGTAGCTGGGACTACAGGTGCCAACCACAATGCCCAGCTGAGTTTTTTTTTTCTATTTTTAGTAGAGATGGGCTTTCACTCTTGCTCAGGCTGGTCTCAAACTCCTGAGCTCTGGAGATCCACCTGCTTCGGCCTCCCAGAGGGCCGGGATTATAGGCGTGAGGCACGGTACCCGACCCATGTTGCTATTTCTTATTACCTTTATGTCCAAATGTGCAACCCTGCAGTTGTGAAGGTACTGCAGAGCTTCCATGATGTCTCGGATGTAGAAAGCTACCTTCTCCTCCATCAGCTCATCGTGATTCATAAGGTAATCTAAGAGCCGGCCATCGTCCATCCTGAAAGCAGGGAGGAAGGGCAAAGGGAGCATGTTTGTGAAAAAACAGAATAACCCGTGTGCAGACCAGTGAGATCTCTAAGATCTCCCTTACTTCCTATTACAAATGAAGATCAGTGTTGCAACACGTGCTTGTTTTCGTTAGAGCTCAAACTTAGTGTAATGCTCAGAACTAAAATAAATATATTTGCAGATGTGGTGTGCTTCCTCCAACCTGGTGGGATAGGGTAGGAGTGGTCAGACTGCAGTGGAGCAAGACTGGGCTTGTTAAATTGGTCCCCTTGAACTTGGAGTGATTAATTAAGGAAGAAATGAATGGTAACACTGCTCTAAGATCAGAGGCTTTTGGACAATGCAGATGCCTACGTCCCACCTTAGACCAGCAATCAGAATCTCAGTTGCCTAGTGGAGAAAAGTTCTATCAGCAGTCCGGTGACGACCGAGAGGAGGCCTCAGTCACAGCAGAACAACATTCAGCGCATGGTTTAGCTCAGGCACAGCCTCTCCGCAAATCATCCCCGAACCTCAAGTCCAACTTTTAACGAATGTTAAAATGCTGAGAATTCACAGCAACCTTCTCCAAGGCACGCATTTATTTCTTAGCATTTTCCATGCTGTATTGAAATCATCCATTTATCTACTGGTATTCCTCCTTATAACTCCTCAAAGGCAAGAACTGTATCTTTTCACCCTGGTTCCCAACCCTGGCCCCAGTGTGCACAGTGAACACTCAGGATATGTTTGCTAAACTGGTTCAACCCGATAGTCATCAATCCACAACATCTCTGAGAAGTTGGAGGAATTCTTCAGTCTTCACAGATGAGGACCCCAGAGTCTAGGAAACTAAGTATTTTGCTTTAAATCACAGAGCTGGGATGTGAGCCCACATTCCTCGCTCCACAAACAGCTTTTTCTCATCACGCTATGGCAGACTGATGAGATAATCAACACCTTCCCTTGGAACAGCCGTCAGCAAGTCTGAAGGGGCAAAGGTCTGCGTCTGCTGAACCATCTTGGCACGCATGACAGTGCATTTTAATTGGAACCCAGGCACGGATGTTGTCACTTGTAGACAAGGACAGTTCACTGGCAACAGACTATACTTTTTGAGTTAGGAAGCTCCCAACAAACAGGTTAGGCTCTGAAAGATTGTAAGTCTGTTTTTAAGGGCAAGGGGACAAACTACCAACTGCTATGCAGCTATGTAAGGTTAAGTAACACACTAACAGTGCTGCTTATATCCCCTCTTTTTTTTTTTAACCTATTTAAAAATGTAGCCAAAGTTGTTTGCATTTTAGCTTCCTTTTTTGTTATAAATAAATTTATACCAAGTTACTGCTTCAAAGACCCCCTTCCACACGCTCGACTAACAAGCACACAAGAGCAAGACTGAAATGAAATTGAAAGGCAGACTATGCAGGTGCTTCTCTACAGAACACTGGTTCCTGCAGAGCCAGACTCAACACTGACCTTCAGTGGAAACATCTGTCTCCTACCTAATGAGGCTAAAGGCCTCATTATCACCAATCTGATAACATGTCTGTGTTATTTCTATTACATCTGAGAACACTGTCTCTGTAAGATTTCTCTAAACCACAGAGGATGCTGTCTGTTCTTAGCCTTGGGTGATGGTGGGGAGAATGACCTTATTCCTTTATCTGTTCTATGTAGAGGTCAAATATGTGGTTGCCCAAGTCTCTAGAAAATTTGGAATGACTGGAATGTTTTGAAGGCCAGGTTCTCCCCTACAAGGAATTTCCCTTGGTGGAAGACCGGGGCTGGCATGGCAGTAGGTTGATGTAAAGGGCCCCCTCTTTCATCTCAACCTCACCTTCTCCACCACCCTACTGTCCATAAGTTCTTCCGAACCACCTTCCCAGCCATAATGGAAGAGAGTCCATATGGAAAGAAATTGAAAACTGCAGTGAGAGAGAGATGGGTTCAAGTCCCACCTTCTCCACTTCCTAGTCTAAGGAGCTAGTTTTAAAAACTTATTCTTAATTTTTTACTCTATAAAAACAACATTTATTATAAAATGGGGGAGAGAGTACATGTTGCATGTAGTGTTTCATAAACTATAAGACATGATATAAAAGGTAGCTGCCTTTTCCATTAATTGTGGGCAAGAGATAACTCAAACGGATGGGGACCACCTTAGAAGGACAATTCCAATTCAGTACTTACAATTCCAAAATCAGTATGTAGGACGTGGGGGACTCATAGGTGTCGTGGAGAGTGATGTACTGGGGGTGCTGCAGGTGCTGAAGCAGGGCGGCCTCATGGGCAGCCTGCTCTTTCTTCTTCATTTTTTTGCTAACGAATTTCACGGCCACATCTTTGCGGGTAGCTTTGTGAATGCATTTCTTTACTATAGAGAAACGGCCTCTGAAAAACAGGAGGGAGAAAGAGTTTTCCAACATTTATCAGTCACCTAGGTTTCATTTGATCCATAAATGTGCCAAGTTTTGTGGGAAGTGGTCAGGCAGTAACATTTTATTAGGAATTCTGCTTTCCTATATTTTTTAGTAATGATGTTATCATTCAGAAAGCCCATCTTTCCTTCTATAGCATTTTAGGCTTCTTTGAGTTACAAAAAAGCTATTTTTTAGCCAATATCTTTCTCCGTCAGTGGGAACATCAACCACAGGTTCCGTTTTCTTTTCTAAGCAGAATATATATATTTGTACTAAATACATCAATAAAAATAATAACACTAAAGAAGTTCTACTCAATGATAAAAAACATTTTTAAAGAACCAGTTTTTCATTTGATTTTATTATCTTTTTATTGCGGACATTTCTAATATACACAAAAGTGAAGGGAATAGCAGAACGGATCTGCCATGCAGCGAGCTTTACTAATTACATGCACAAATAATGGCATGAATAACGCCCCCTTCTTATGACCTGGTAATCTACACCAATTTTTTATTACAAAATCGTAAGTATGTAATTTTGTAACATGACAACATCACACTTAGGCACAAAACAACATTACGTCTGCTGGACCCTGTAGAATGGTTCCCAGATACAGCCCTGTGAAGGCAGTAAGATAGCTAAGCAGAAGCAGCACAGGTCAGCAGTGGAAGCAGACAAAGTGAAGGTCAGTGAGGTGACAAGGCAGTATCCTCTAAGCCCTGTCCACGAGGTGCCCTTAGCCCATGAGCAGTAGGACAGTCTGAAGACCAGCCCATGGGGACATCATGGCCACTGCTACAATCATCCAATTAACTCTTTGACCTGGCTCTGTGCTCACTGTCCAATTTTCTAATAATGCTTTTTTTGTTGCCCAGGCTGGAGTGCAATGGCATGATCATCACTCACTCCAGCCTTGAACTCCTGGGCTCAAGTAATCCTCCCACCTCAACCTTCCAAGTAGCTGGAACTGTAGGCATGCACCACCAAAGCCAGCTGATTTAAAAAAAAACATTTTTTTTTAGAGGTGGGGTCTCACTATGTTGCCAATGCTGGTCTAGAATTCCTGGCCTCAAGTGACCTTCCTGCCTCAGCCTCCCAATGTGCTGGGATTACAGATGTGAGCCACTGTACTCAGCCTAGCTTTTTTTCCAGTATAGGTTTGTTTACAAGAATATGCTAACTAGTAAAACAACTACCATGTTTCCCCCAAAATAAGACCTGCCCCCAAAATAAGCCCTAACAGGATTTCTATGCATTTGTTAAATATAAGCCCTACCCCAATAATCAGACCTAGTGATAGGCCATGCATTTCTGCGTGGAGCGGTAAGGAAGACTGGAATACCTTTTATCTGCCACAGCTCCTTTCTCCGAGCCATTTGCACTTGCCTGGGTGCATGTGTGGTAACCGCCGGGTGCAGGTATCCTATTGCACACATGCTAATGGCTAGGAGAAAGGAATTCACGCATCACTAACGCCAGCCCCACCAACAAGGTTGGCTCCCCCTGTCAGGTTCCAGAAGAAGATGACTTAACTGTATTTGAATAAATGTAGATTGTTGTATTATACTTAATAAAAATAAGACATCCCCTGAAAATAAGCCCTAGTGTATCTTCTTAAGAAAAAATAAATATAAGACAGTGTCTTATTTTCGGGGAAACATGGTATTAGACAGGTATTCATTGAATGTCTGTTATATGTCAGACATCATTCTTGGGATAGCAAACAAGTATTTGGTCAAACTGGCAGTTCTGTTTCACATGATGAATTAATAAGTTGCCATTCTGGTTTTTAACAGCACTCTCTTGTGAGGTCATTATTACTCCTTCCAGAGGACTTTGGATGCACAAAAACAGCAGAATGCTGAGGATGGCTCTCCTGAGCTTAGTGGCCACAAGTTACTGCTAGCTTAACTTCAAAAACGTTTTTCTATTTACAAGTTATCCATCCCATGGTTTCAATTAACTCAATTAGCTTTACAGGTTTTTATTTTTTAAAAAATGTAGTCCATCCTCCTATGTATCCTGTTTTTTCTCCCCTGGAGGTGATTTAATGTATCAGTTTGATGTCCTTTAGAAGATGACTGAGATATTTACTTACAGGGCCCTAGAGAGCATGCTTTGGTGGCTACCTCTTGATTGTTTCAGTTTTCGTTATTGTCCGTTGACATCTCATAGGGAGATGAGATTTCAGCCTCTTTCTTCCCTCCCTACTACACAACCACTATTCCCCAGCTTCTATCCTCCCAGCAAAATTATATCATAATCAAAATTCAGTGCTTACATGACTGTGTTAGTACCAGTCACAGCAGAGCCTCTAGTAAACTATGAACACTTCTTTTTGTGAGAGAATGCACTCTTCAGCCATTTCTGACAATGAGTTACATGGGAAACAAACTGTTTGAGACTTGCCTATCTGAAAATTTGTACTTATTCTATTTTTGTATTTGATTTGTTAGTCTAGCTGACAGTTGGGAAAATTCTTCACTCACTATTTTAGAAGAATTACACTATTGCCTTCTAACCTCAAGGGTTAATGTCCACAGCATTATGATTCCTAATTTTAGTATATGACCCTGTCTCCTCACAGGGAGCCTGTAGGCTCTTCTCTTTTCCTCAGTGTTGAGAAGTTTCACTATGATTTGCCATGATGTGGGTCTATTTTCATTTACTAGGTTGAACACTTAGGGTAAACTCATATCTTTTCGTTCTTGAACTATTTTATTTTATAGAAATACAGTAGAACCTCCATAGTTGACCACCTCCCTACATTGGCCTCCTGCTTACGTTGACCTAATTTTCATAGACTGGACATGAACCAGTGTACGTATCAGTGCAGTAGGCCTAGGTCCTTAGGTGTCACCTCCATATATTGACCAGTTTGTTACTGTCCCTTGGGTGGTTAACTTACAGAGGTTCTACTTCCTTATTTTCTGTTTTTTTTTTTTTTTTTAATTCTCTCTTTCTGGAACTTCTGTTTTTCAAATTGGACTATTTGAAAATAGTCTGTAAGGATATTAATGAGAGTTTGGAAGTCTTTTACGGCATAGTCTGTTTCCTTTTTTTAATTTCATGTTTTTGTTTTGTGTGCTATCTCCCATTTTAGAGATTTTCCTCATGTTGAGAAATTCTTAGTAATTGACTCATTTATTTCCCCTTTATTCCTAAAGGATACTTTTGCTAGATTTAGAATTCTTGGTTGCCAGGTCTTTTTTTTCAGCACTTGGTCTCTGTTGACTCTGTTGTCTTCCAGCCTCCATAAATTCTGATGAGATATCTGCAGTTATTCAAGTCATAAAATATAATGGGTTACTTTTTTCTCTTGCTGCTTTCAAGATTTTTTTTTCTATGTGTTAGTGGTCGGCAATTTGATTATAAGGTATCTGGGCATGGGTCTTTCTTATCCTGTTTAGGTCTCTGTGCTCCTTTACAAATTTGTGTCTTTCATCAGATTGAAACCTTTTCAGCCATTCTTTCTGCAAAATTTTTTTCTGCACCAATCACTTTCTCTTCTCCCACAGGATTTCCAATGACATGAGTTTTAGACCTTTTAACATTTTCCCATAGATCCCTGGGGTTCTGTTTAATATTTTAAAAATATTTTTCCTCTCTTCTCTTTATGTTGTATAACTTATATTTCTCTATCTTAAATTTTACTGACTCCTCCATCAATTCCTATTCTGCTGTTGAGCCCATTCAGTACATTCAGTACTTTTATTTATTTATTTATTTTGAGACAGAGTCTCACTCTGTTACCCTGGGTAAAGTGCCCTGATGTTGTCATAACTCACAGCAACCTTAAACTCCTGGGTTCAAGCAATCTTCCTGCCTCAGTCTCCCAAGTAGCTGGGACTGGGGGCACCTATCACAATGCCTGGTTAATTTTTCTACTTTTGGAAGCGGGGTGGGGGGCTCTCCCTCTTGTTCAGGCTGGTCTTGAACTCCTGAGCACAAGGAATTCTCCCACCTCAGTCTTTCAGAGTGTTGAGATTACAGGTGTGATTCCAGTAAAGTTTTTTTCACATTTTTTAGTTATATGATTTCCGTTCTAAAAAATAACTTATTTTTCTCTGCTGACTCTTACTTGTATCTTTCTGTTCATTTCTAGAGCATTCACCTTTTCTTCATGGAGATGCTTGACAATCTTTGTGTGATAATTCCAACATCTTTATCATCTCAGACTATCTGTCGACCATTTTTTGACCTGAGAACTTTTCAGATTTTTCTGGTTTTTGTTATATTGAGTGATCCTGAACATTTTGAATATTATGCTGTGAATCTGTGATCCTGTTAAAATCCTCTGAAGAATGTTGATTTTTTGTTTTTATGTTTTCATCAGCAATCAACTTATTTAGATTCAGACTACAAGTTCTGTCTGACTTTCTGTGGGAGGTGTTTTTACCAGCAGATCAGTTTTCAAAGTATTTGCTGTGGTGTTTAGACCTGCTCCTCATGAGCACCACGCACAGGTTAGTCTGGGATCAGTCAGTCCCTGCAGGGTGACTGATCAGTGGTTGGTATTGTATTCGGTTCTCAAAGCCTTGCTGTATTTCTTTGGGTGTGTATTATTCATGCACACATGTCTAAGTGGCTCAGGATCTGTCTGGTCTCATAATTAGGGGATCCCCTTCTGTTACTCTCTCCTCACAGAGGTTTTCCCCACATTCTCTGGCTCCTCTGGTCCACTTTTTGTGGTGGTCTGGCCAGGAAGATGGAATTCTCTCAGTGTTTCAGCTTCTTGCACCATTGTGCAATTTCATATGACTGCCCTTCAGGTGAGCAATGAGAGAGAAAGAAAAAACCCAGGAATGTCTCTGCTCTCTCCAGCACAAAGGGATACCTTTGCCATGTCTTTTGGCCAGAAATGTGGGTTTTTCTTAGTATTCTGACTCCCTGTGTGTGCTGCACAATTCTCTGACTTGGCCCACCCTTAGGTCAAAGCTAGGGAGATAAAAGAGAATGAAAAAAGATAGAAAACTCGTGCCACTGTTTTTGTCATTTTCAAGTCTTGACTTCCCTCACCAATCTCCCTATTATATACTTTTCAGAATTCTCAGATAATTGATTTTTGTATTTTATCCAGGGATTCTAGTTGTAATAAGTAGGAGATAAAGGCTACTATGGGCTTACTCCATCTTGACTGGAGGGTTGGCTCATTTTAAAAGGTCAGCACTAAAAAGCTATTTGGAGGCTCTGCGTGTGTGGGTGGAGCCTGTCAACTGTTAATTTAAGGTCATCAGACTGGACTCTCGCCTTGGGAAGGCTCTCTAATTAGTATCCTTAAGTCTTTCCTCTTGGCTGGTCAGAGCCTCCTAACTCCTGCCTAGAGAGAGGGTAAAGCCCTGGTGGATAAGAGAGCTGGGTTCTTAGTAACCAGGATGCGTATATTCTTACAGTGTCTCTGTTTTCACTATGGTTCAACTGTCCTCATTCGTGCCTGGTGTCCCCAAGGACTATCTTTCAAGAAAATAAAACTTGAGTCTTATCTTGTGTGGAGGAGGACAATCACACACATGCCTGAAGTGGGGAGGAGGCCTGGAGCCACAGCTCACCCCTGGGCATGCTGACAGTTGCCTGTCCAGGCTCTAGAAAGGCAGCAGACCGGGCCTCTAGGGAGGACGGTGGGCTGGACACAGGCATCTATTCTCACTGTCTCCTGGGGCAAAACTTCTTTTCAAACACTGTCAGCCAATCCTTTTCCTATTTCCAGAAGTACTGGGCCTCTGTGGAATTCTGCCGCAGAAGTTACACTGCCTCTCATTTGATCCCATGACTGACTAGGACTCACTAATTCAGTTCTCCTGGGTCATTTGTTCCTCTTTCATCTGTGTTTTTTCCTTCTATTTATTTATTTATTTTTGAGATGAGGTCTCACTCTTGCTTAGGTTGGTATCAACTCCTGAGCTCAGGTGATCCACCTGCCTCAGCCTGCCTGAGTGCTAGGATTACAGGTGTGAGCCACCGTACCCAGCCTACTTTTTCCTTCTGATACTTTATTATTATCTATTCTTCCAGTGTCCTCATCCTTTTGTGCCTACTTGAAAAACTTCTTCTATTGTTTTAATGTCGTCTAGGAGGCCCAGCACTGATATTTTTCCGGACTCTATGTGGGCAACCTGTCAGCATTCCCAGCAATAATCCCCCCCGGCTTTTTAAAACTGCTTGGGCACCTATACAGTTTATATCTGGTTAAATATGCCATGTTCAAGTGCCCTTTCCTTTTATGGACGTGTGGTAGAAGTAGAGATACTCCTTTATAACTATGCACCATGATCTGTCTAGTACAGGAGAACCTCTGCAAGTCGACTGCCCAAGGGACAGTAATAAACTGGTCAACAGACTGAGGTGGTCAACATAAGGACCTAGGTCTACTGTACTGATAGGTACATGTGGCACCTGTCCACTCTATGCAAATTAGGTCAACTTAAGGAGGTGGTCAATGTAGGGAGGGAGTCAACTATTGAGGTTCTACAGTATTTAATTACTGGTAGTCATACAGGCACGGGATTCAGGTTTAGGCATACTGGAAAAAGTTGACTCACATCTGTGACCCTGGCACAGATGTTTTTCATGTGTGTCATGTAAGAATCTTCATATTTTATTGCCATTATGGTAGTGTACAACATTTTGAAAAGATCTTCTGAAAATATGAGAACTGTTCTTAGGAAAGAGAAAAGATTCAGGCTATTGGAGCTGAGATTGTTTTTTAAGAAAACAACTGTTGATTACTTTGAATAGATCAGAAAATTGACCTCCCCTTTGAGAAATATCAAAACATCTATTTATTCTGCTACAACATGGGGTGTCTAGGTGATACAGCTAATTTCCCTAAGAACCAGTCGGGGATTTGATTTGCTCATTATTGGGGTCATATCTAGCTTCACAAATTTCAAGGTAACAGAACTACCTAGACTTTCATTACTGGAATTTATTTTTGACAGTAATTGTTACGATGAGAAATGACATATACTAGTAAAACAAACATAGGCTTAGAGTTGGGTAGCCTAGAACTTAAATCCTGGCTGTACACTTACTAGCTGTGGGACCTCAAGGAAATACTGAACTTCCCTGAGCCCGAGTTCAGGGAGTCCAGACACTGCCTCACAGTGTTATGAGGATTAGATTAAATAATGCTTGGATGTGTCTACATAGCTTATGAAACACTGCAGGGATTCAGAGGTAGGCCATCATCAACACATAATTTCCTTTGGCTTTCTTTTTCCTCTGGCTACACAAAAAAGACAGGAAAGTAGAATTAAAGTTTATTTTTGGTGAAAGATGCTGTTATGAAAGATAGCAAATTACTTTCTCCTGCCTACAAAACAGAAAAAATAAACATTTTGGCTTCCTCCACAGTCTCTGTTATAACTGCCACACTTAGGAAACTTTATGCTTTGTTAAGAGATGCTGAAACAATGATGCTGATTCTGTTCATTTCAGAGCTTTTTATTAAGTTTTTTCTACTCGTCACATTAAGATTTATTAAAAGGAAATCACAATGACCACCCTCCCATCTCAATTCTACTCCTAAAAATGCCATTCTAGAGCTCATGCAACCAGGAAGTAGGTCTGAAGTGACCCGATGCGTAAGCATTGAGCTCAGTACTGATAATACCAAAACTTTAAAACAGGAGTAAGGCCAAAAAAAAAAAAAAAAAAAAAAGAGAGAGAGAGATGCCAATCAGAGATCTAGACGAGGCCAATTGTAAATGGGTGCCCTTTCATTTCTACATCTGGGGGGCAGGTGACTTATAAGGTCAGCCTACATTTCCTGCCCAGACCACCTGGAGACCAATGCCTGCCTAGGGATAAACCCCTTCTGTTTTTCTCCCCTCAGCTATTTTGTGGGTTAAGTGATAGATTTTTTTTCATTTTTCTGTTAAAAGTCATATTTATATATATAATTTTTTTTGAGATAGAGTTTCACTCTGCTGCCCAAACTAGAGTGCTGTGGTACCATCATAGCTCACAGAAACCTCAAACTCTTGATCCTCTTGCCTCAGCCTCGTGAGTAGCTGGGCCTACAGGTGCCCACCACAATACAGCTGGCTAACTTTTCTATTTTTAGTTGAGATGGGGTCTCACTCGTGCACAGGAACTGAGGAATGCCTAAGCTCAAGAGATTCTCCTCCCTCAGCTTCTCAGAGGACTGGGATTACAGGTGTGAGCAACTGCACCAGCTAAAATTTTATTCTTTTTATTTCTGAGGACACAATAAATGTTCTCTAACCAAAAGAGAGGGAACGGCAGAGTGGCAAGGGGTGGAGAGAGAGAGGTACGTATACATGTACATGTGGGGGGTATTTAGATTAGAAATACCTATGAAGGCGCCACACCTGGAGCTCAGCAGCGAGGGCATCAGCCACATACACTGGAGCTGGCAGGTTCAAACCCAGTTTGGACCCGCCAAACAACAATGACAACTACAACCAAAAAATAGCCAGGTGTTGTGGTGGGCTCCTGTAGTCCCAGCTACTTGGGAGGTTGAGGCAAGAGAACTGCTTAAGCCCAGGAGTTGGAGGTTGCTGTGAGTGGTGACGCCATGGCACTCTACCGAGGGTGACACAGTGAGATTCTGTCTCAAAAAGAAAAAAAGAAATACCTATGAAACAATTAATGCGCTCGACACATGGACATATAGAGAGACCTATACCCAACAATTAATAACTATACATTCTTTTCAAGAACATGTGGACCTTTTTTCATAATTGACCATGAGTTATTCATAGAGGAAGTCCCAACAAAAATTAGGGAATCAGTATCATGTAGACTGAGTTCTCAAGCCACAGTGCAAATTAAGGTAGAAATCAGTAATAAAAAGTTCCTTTAAAAGATCTCATACATTAAAATATGTCATACATCTTAAAATATTTTTCCACTTTAACTGGGCCATAGACAAATTCATAGTTGAAGAAAAATAGATAGAACTCAACAATAATGAAAATACCACATGTCAAGACTTGGGAAATAGGGCTAATATTATACTTCAAAGAAAATTTTGATCCTTAAATTTTATTTTTTTTAATTGAGACAGAGTCTTACTTTGTCACCTTTGGTAGAGTGCTGCAGTGTCACAGCTCACAGCAACCTCAAACTTCTGGGCTCAAGCGATTCTCTTGCCCCAGCCCCACTAGTAGCTGGGACTATAGGCACCTGCCACAATGCCCAGCTGTTTTTTCTTTCTTTTTTTTTGTTTAGCAGGCCCTGGGCTGGGTTTGAAGCCATCAGCCCCAAAGCATGTGGCCGGCTCCCTAACCACGGAGCTACAGGCACCCAGCTGATCCTTAAATTCTTATATTAGAAAAGAGTGAGGTCAATGCATGAAGCAGTCAACTTAGGAAGTTAGAAAAAGAACAGTAGGAAATACACATAAATCTTCTCATTGTGTTCACCCTGTAGAGAGAATGCATCTATCAAAGAAACAAATAACCAGAATGAGTAATTACTCCGTCGTGATGATGCTAGATACTGATGAATAAAGGCACTATGAGAACACTGTGTCATTCATTACCTTCCGATTTCATTCAGCTCAGTATAAGCTGAGTCAAAATTTTCCTTCCAAGAAATGGTGGCGCCATCAGCAGCAGCATCTTTGGAAGAGAGAGAATCATTGATGACATTGAGGATGTCATAGCAGAATAAAGAAAAGGTTAACAAAAAAGCTTCCGCGTAGCCCCAAAGCAATTCTCACGGCTAAATATGGAATCTAACTCAGTGGGAAAATGCCACGATTCTCTGGAATGTTATTTAAAAATATATCATCCAAGGGAAACTGACATGACAGAGTCAGACTCCCTCTGCCATCTACTTAAAAACAAGGGGAAAACACAGGACAATCAAAAGTGTGACTTCTGGAGATTCTAAAATAGAAATTTGGCAGAAAGAGTTAAAAGGGAGAGAACAAAACACTTTGAAGTCCTAGAAAAGCCAGAGAGATTCAGGGCTATCAGGAGGATATGGAGAGAGAAGAGGGGTGAAGCTACAAGATCAAGAAAGGAGAGAAAGAAAAGATATTCCAAAATGTTTTCTTTCTTACCCCATTGTTCTCAAGCATTCATGAGCTTCTTTCTAGACTGAATGATTTAACTTAACCCACAATATATGCCCGATTAGACTCTGGTGGCATTTCCTTGTATGATGGGTCAATTTCCTGGCAATGATTTAGAAACACACACACACACAGGCACACACACACATGCATGCAAGTATGCACACCAACGTGCATTTGTGTTGTCTACTGGGGACCAAAGTTTGCAGGTATCAAAAAGAACAGTGGTCATGCCAGAGCAGGACTCAGCTAGTGGCTTAGGAGGAGAGAAGCCAAGTCCACAACACAGCTCTTCTGACCCCAGAGCTGGGCCCCTCAGGCTGCCCAGAGCACACCTGGCTGGGACTGAAGGCAGCCTCTCCATATTGAATACCGGGGAAACAGAGAACCAGCACCAAGGTTTCCCAGTGAGTCACAGGCCCTGGGAACAAGGTCAAAACCACTGGGAGAGATGACTGAATTGGCAGTGGGGGCCCAGCTAGAGAGCATTTCCGGATTCAGCTGGGGACGAGGCATAACCCAAGGCTGGAAAGAGTTTTCCAAGCCCCTCTGGAGACTCCAGATTGACCCAAAGAGACGCAGGACCATTGCCTTTGAAGCAGAGCAAAGCACACCCACCCACTGCCCTCCTGGACATGCACTGACCGCTCCCTTCCACTGCCCCAAATCTCACTACTTGGAGATTTCTTCAGACCAGCAAGTTTCCTTTTTCAAAATGTCCCTGGAACCAAGATGACTTGGTGGGCAAGCTAAGGACCACATTCGTAAAATACGCACATTTAACATGTTTATTTTAGTTAATTTCTCAACAAAGCTACATAAAAATATATCTATGTTGAGAAAAGAAATCCTGGGATAATGAGGAATGAGGAAACTTTCAAGTATTTGTTTTGAGATGAAATTCTTCAACCAGGCTACTTTCTCTTCCCATTTGAAGCTGTAAGTGGCTATCCCTCATGCTGTGAAGTGTGATGCCAGGGAGGGGGGGCTTTATATACCTGCCTCTGAAAGGGGGCAGATAGTAGCGTGGGACTCATGACTCCTGTCCCTGTTCCTCTCTGTTCTGGAGATACACCCAGTCTCCTGGGGAGCGTGTTAGGTCCAGGCAAGGCATGGGGGTGAGGGGGCAGATCTAACATTTGCCCAAGATGCTTAGAGGCACACTTTATGGAAACATTCTTCATGAGACCTCCCAAATGTTGCTTGACTAGAGCTACTGAGCAGCCCCAAGTCACCTCTTGTGTGAGCAGCCAGTGCCAGTGGGCCTGTGACATCTGGCCAGGGGGTCGTGGACATGGCAGGGACTCACCATATTCTGGAAGTCGCACAAATTCCGAGGGCTCGCTGGGGAGGCTGATTCCCCAGGGGTTACTTGCACTGACTCTGAACTGATAAGGACACCCAGGACTAAGGTCTTCAATGACGAGATAAGTGTCCAAGGTTGACGCGACCGACTGCTGCCAGATCTGAGAACCTAGTGACAGTTTCCCAGAAGAGAGAAAGAAAAAAATCCATAGAGACATTGTTTCAAAGACCTTCAGCAAACAAAGAAAGGAAAATTGACACATTCAATTTAAGGGACAGTTGTAGACCGACGGTGGCAGTTTGGGTTCAGTTTCCTAAATGACTGAATAAATGGTGAGGGGTGTGACAGAAGTTGACCCAGAGATTCTGTCCACTTTCAAACGTGCATGTCCAAGTGTGAGAGTGACAAGACAAAGATAAGAGGAATTTCCAGAGGACATGTGGTAAATTCGTAATTCATAACAAAATAGGAAAAATATGCATCTGGCAACGGAAACGAAACAAATTAACATGTACTAAGCACCATACACATGCACAACCCTGTGGGAGGGTCTGGTGTCTCCCACATAACTCTCTCATTTAACTTCCTCACGTAACTCCACAGAAACCTGATGAGGTAGGGAGCATTAACCTACTTTACAGATAAAGAAAATGAGCCTCAGAAATATTAAACAATTTGCCCGAGAGAACTTAGTTAATAAGGTGAACTATGAACTGAATAATGAGAAGTATGAGCTTTGTGAAAGGTGACTCCCAGCTCAGCATTCACACCTTCTGAAGACCCGGGAGACGCGAGAGCAAATGGCTTGAGACAAATGCAGAAATAAACAGTTTAATTTTAATTAAACTAGGGCATGTCTAATAAAAGACAAGAAGAAAGAGAAGAGTGAAAATAGTAAGAATAGAGGGAAGTAGAGTAAAAGGAATATTTTTGGTTTCGGGAGCTTAGGTGAGGTGGCAAGCAGTCACTTTCAATTCAATTCATTGATTCAGAGATATATGTTCAGAGATATATGTTATTAACAATTAAAGCTATCTGGAAGCCTCTTATTTTAACTAGTCATTTTCAACAACTAGATGGAAATCTTAGTTTCTAATGATAAAGTAATATATACCCTTTTAGCAAGTAAATGTTAACAAATTTTAAAGTTTAAATTGCATAATTTTTAACTGCATAATATATATATGTGTATGTATGTCTCTCAATTTTATCTGGGGCCAGCAAGTATAGCTCTCTGATCACTGCCTTAGTTATTTCTCTGGGAGAAAGATCATTAATTAGCAACCTAGAGAGCTGAGATTTAATGCTAGCTCTGCCTCTTACTAACTACAACCTTGGGTTTCTTTTTCTTTTCTTTTTTTTTTTTTTTAAGAGACAGGGTCTTGGGCTAGGCTAAGTGGCTCATGCCTGTAATCCTAGCACTCTGGGAGGCTGAGGCAGATGGCTTGCTTGAGCTCATGAGTTTGAGACCAGCCTGAGCAAAACTAAAAATAGAAAAACTGAGGCAAGAGGATCCTTGAGCCCAAGTTGGATGTTGCTGTGAGTTATGCCTTTTGACTCTATCTCAAAAAAAGAGAGGCAGGGTCTTGCTCTGTCACCTGGGCTGGAGTGCAGTGACCCAGTCCTAGCCCATTGTGGCTCAAGTGATCCTCCCACCTCAGTCTTCTGAGTAAATGGGACTATAGGCTAATTAAAAAAAATTTTTTTTTTTTTTTTGTAATGATGGGGTCCTACTTTATGTCACCCAGGCTGGTCTCAAACTCCTAGCCTCAAGCCATCCTCCCACCTTGGCCTCCTAAAGTGCTAGGATTATAGGAATGAGCCACTGTGTCTGGCCAACTTTGTGTTTCTTAACTTTCTTTAGGCCTCAGCTTACTCATCTGTAAAATGGGTCCAATCATCCCTGTGTTGGTGATTGAGCAAGTTAAGTACGGAAATGCATGTGAAGGCACTTTGAGACCTGTCCTAGGTCATGGGCAGGTCATGTCAGGGGGGTTTACAACATCATAGTGAAAACAGCTGCTTGATGAGTAAGATCAGAAGGAAGCTGCAGTCTGGCACTGAAGCCTCTGCGCTGAGCTGGAAGACCCAACAAGGAAGAACTTCTGAAAGATGAGGAGATTACCAGGCTTATAACTGATGGACCTCCCTGAGAGGAAGAGAAAACAGAAAAACAAGAGCGGGAGGAGATAGCGCACCTTCCTCTCTGTACTCCACGGTGTAACCAGAAATAGTGCAGTTCCCTGTGCTGGATGGGGGTAGCCAGCGCAGAATCACAGAGGTGCGGCTTCTCTCCTGGGCAATGGGGCGGTTAGGTGCTGCTGGGACACCTACAGAGACAAAAGCTAGGATCAAGTGATCTTTCTTCAAAAGTGGGCATTTTACACCAACCATAGAACATCCAGGAAACTAGCCCGAGTCTTCATGTTTTCCTATGACCTTCTCCACCAAGTGGCATAGTTTTCTCCAGCCCCAGGGGACCTTGAGGCACAGCTGGCTGTCCACAGTGCCTCCCCGGGCTAGACACTGCACACAGGGATCAAGCATGGTCAGGGCACTATGCAGTAGGTTTACGGCAGGCCACCTACCCCTCTTAGCAGACATTTGTTCTCTTTACATTTGCTAGAACTTTATTTTGAAATTTTCACAGTGGGCCTTTTCTTTCCACAGTCTCAGGGAGCCCATGTACTGTTTGCTTAAAAGGTTTGACTAACACAAGTCCACAGAGACAGAAAGAGGAATGGCGGAGGCCAAGGCATGCGGGCAGGAGGAACGGGGAGTTATTGTTAATGGGGGAAGTTCAGTTAGGCAATGTGGAAGAGTTCTGTGACACGGTAGCCCCCAAACATGAATGCACTTAGTGCCGGTGCACTGGACACTTAAAAATGGTTAAGATGGTAAATTTCATGACGTGAGAGCTTTACTACAATTTAAAAAATGTCTTTAAAAAGTACTTTAAAATTTCAATGAACAGAGACTGTACCTTGCACTTTAACTGTAGCAGAGGTTGATGTGGTCCCGTGGTCGTTTGTTGCAATGCAGGTGTAAATCCCGCTGTCCTGGGGCATCAGATTGCAGATCTTCAGGGTGATTTCCCCAGAATCACTAGAGACACCAAGAGGACACTGCCATTCAGACTGGAGTGATGAGCCAGGTGACTGGTTAAATCCCTTGGGGTTGGCATGTGGCGTGCAGTTTGCGGTGTGCAGAGCTGGGAGGCTTCAGCCTGAGGTCTAGTGCATGTCTGTTAACTCCCTACTCGCCTTGGGCCACCACCTCCCTCTGTGTATCCCCATTCCCTACACGGGAAAACATTTTGGCCATGTCCCTCTCTCAAGTTTGTTGTCAATGACAGGTAGAATAAGGAGTAAAATGACATAACAATTAGAACCTGGTTTAAAAGACATAAAGTCCTATACAAGTACTGGTCCACAGTATTATTAGTGTTTTACCACTAGTAACCTTGTCCTGGAATATACAGTCTTGCAGATCAATAATGAATGGTACAACAAAGAGAAAGACCAAAAAATTAAAATGTTCAGGTATTTCAAATTCTACATGGCTAGAAAATAATTAAGGGAATTAAGAAAAGGTAAATTCCTTCACCTAAACCATAACTTCCTCACTCATCTCAGTATGCGATCCTGGAACATTCTAAGGGGAGAACTGCTTTGAAAGGGTTAAATGTAGGACGTCTCCACTCCTGTGGGAGGCTGGAGGTGTAGAGGGTGTTGTGTGCTTCCTCACAAGCACTGCCTCTCACACTAAGCTCCTTCTACTCAGGTATTTTGTGTCCTGGCCAGAAAGTCTCTGCTCGGAATACCAAAGAACGATTTCAATTCCCATGCCCACAAATTAAGTCGATGGTTGAAAGTTTCTTAATTCTAGGTGTTTCTTCCATAAATGTTTCTTAGGCATTAGGGCTTGTTACTGCTTGTCCACTGTAAGCAGTGGACACAATAAAGTACACAAAACAGTTCATGATTAGTAACAATAAATGTTAATAGAATGATCGGGAGGCAGTCAACTAAGTTTTGTTAAACAGTGTTTTCGTGCATGTTTGTACATTTGGAATAAGTCATTTTTTTTCCTAATAAAGTTGTTCTTAGGTAAGGAATTAAATATTAATGTATCACTATTTCACAGCGTCCTGAGGGCACAGAAAACACCAGGATGCCCCGATTTGGGGTCCATACTTTCACCACTTCTGACTTAGAGACTTCCTTAGGGACCCGTAGGGAGATAGACCTCAGAGGGCGGATGTCAGGCAGTGACTGTAAAAGCTCCCCAAAAGTGTGCTTCATGATTGACCTGAGATGTAACCGTTCATGTTTTTCTTAATTTGCCTAAGGTGGGCCCGGAATGCAGTCTTTGCAAACTGTTCTGCTGTCCCAGGGTCGTCTACTGGGCACGGGCACTGCTGCTGCCCCGGATGAACGTCAGGCTGGTGGCTGGGGGCAGTGTGAGTGGCTCAAGCTGTGCTTTTTCATTCCTTCTCTCCTCGCCAAGGCCAAGTGTTAGAGCTAGAATAGGCTTCAGGGCAGCTCTTCTCTCCGAAAGCTGTTAACCAGAGTGGAACTGCAGCCCGGATTTAGCAAACTCCCTCCCCAGTGCTGTGCTCAGCCACTCTTGTGCTCCTGTGCTGGGGCGATCGGCTTACCAAGAGGACACGGTGTACGTGGCCGAGCTGTTGTCAGTGTCAAGGAGGTTCTGGTCTGGGCCCTTCCAGGTGATGGTTGGCTTTGGCCGCCCACAGACCTTGCATTGTAGTATCACAGTATCCCCAAGCAAACAAGTCACATCCACTAAGGGTACAAGGAACTCTGGGGCCACTGTGATCAAATCAATACACATTCATATCATTCAGAACAAATTTAGAAAAAAACAGCCTGTTTTTTAACACAACTCTATCATTCCCCACCCATACTGTATGATTCAAATAACCTTCAGCATAACACTGTTATCTCTGTCCCTTTAGTAAGTATTGGAAAGCAATAAATATTATAGAAAAAGTAGGAAATATATATAAACAAAAGGAAGGAATAGCGCCATGATGTCATAATCTGGAGAGAACAACTGGGAATATTCTGATCTATATCCTTTTAGGCTTTATGTACACAGTTATCGCACCCAAATTGTATCTCATTGTATGTATTGCAAGTTGCAGTCCTTTTCATCTAATAATTTATCATAAACATCGTTCCTTGTCCGTTAATATAGAATCATGTCACCATTGTTTAAAGGTTTTACCTCAATGCTGGATGTACGATCATTTATTTAGCCAATTCCCACATTTCCAATTCTACCACTTTTTAACTCACCTTCTTGAATGAAATTTGGATTTAAAATCTGAAAAACACAAAGAAATAGGAAAATTGCTTGAATCCTAAATTACTGAAAGAGAACAAGAGACTTTTACCCTATTGCATAAAAATGAAGTGCAACTCAAGGAGCTGAGACCTGGGCCTCACCCCTCCCTTCGTCATGACTGTGTTATTCTGGCAGTGACAGAACCCTGGTTATCAACAAAGGGCGCTTGGTTGATAATCTGGCTGTTCACGTTCCACCTGCCAGGGGGCAGCCTGGTCAGGTTCACTGTGACTTAGACCTGGGCTAGCACAGCTGCCCTTTCTGCCTTCCTCTCCTTGGTTGTTCTTCCTCCCTTCACACGCAAGCCTCACTCTCCTCCTGTTCAAAATGCGCTTAAGCAACATGATGAGACGATTCTTCCCAGGGTCGTGAAGCTTCGAAAACAGAGGACCTGAGACCTCTCAGGTCCCAGGGTTGGTAGGTAAGGAATTAAATATTAATGTATCACTATTTCACAGCATCCTGAGGGCACAGAAAACACCAAACTCTCAAACTCAAGTGTCTTCGAAATTAACTAACCAGATGATTTCCTTCCAAATGTCCTTCCTCTACTTCTCCCCCACCCCAAGCAAGAGAAACTTCTTTCCAGAAGGTAAATGCAGAAGGGGAATGAGAGAAGTCCTGCCTATCTTGTCCCCAGACGACCCCTGTAGCCCAGGCCTGCACAGGGCAACTTGAAAACCACTTACTGTTTTAACCATTCTGACACTTTTTGCTTCATAGGTGAGAAAACAGAATAAGCAACTATGTGACTAAACTTGTTAAGTCCAGTCACGAGGCTGGTTCCAGGAAGGAACTGCTAGGGCTTTTTGTGTGTATACCTTGCTGCCTGACTCAGGACGCCCTGAGTATTTCACGGCAGGGAAAATATCTAGCCAACTAGTCATTCTGCAAAGTTACCCCGTCTTCAAAGAGTGGCTGCCTTGATTTTTCCCTCCATCTTTCGTATTCCTGCTAATCATGCAGGTCCAGGTCATAAAGCCTCGCGTGGTAAAAGCGCATGATGGACAATGATGGGTCAGAGAGGCTGAGGTCATCTATTTTGTTTAAAGTGATCATATGCTAATTACTTAAAATTGATTGGCATCAATCTTCTCCACTATGAAATGAGGGTAAATAATATCTAGTGCAGACTGTTATCACAAAGATTAAATGAAAACATGTATGTCAAGTACTTAGCACCGTGCTTGATAAATAACAAGTACTCAAGACCTATTTAAAAGAAGATTACCTATTCCTGGTCATCTTCCTTCTGCTAAGTAGCTCATTATCTCTGACAGTTTATTTGGTAAAACTCTTCTTTCCATCATAAGGAAGACAGAAACCTCATGCCTTACACAATTACTCAGTTGGGGCCTTCCTACTTATTTCCCTGTCTTTATTCAATCTTATGTGAACATACGTGTTTTCTGTGTATTCTTCCCTTAGAGTGGGACCTATATGAGCCCTTTGGAACAAAGATGTTATTTCTTTCTTTTTTTTGAGAGAGTCTCATGATGTCGTCCTTGGTAGAGTGCCATGGCGTCACAGCTCACAGCAACCTCCAACTCTTGGGTTTAAGTGATTCTCTTGCCTCAGCTTCCCAAGTAGCTGGGAGTACAGGCCCCTGCCACAATGCCTGACTGTTTTTTTGTTGTAGTTGTCATTGTTGTTTGGAAGGCCTGGGCTGGGTTCAAACCTGCCAGCTCTGGTGTATGTGGCTGGAGGCCTAGTGGCTGAGCTATAGGCACTAAGCCAGTGTTATTTCTTTCCTTAGGTTTCCCTTTGTGAACCACTTAGATTTTTCCTGAAGTGGGCTGCATCAAGTCCTCATGATGCCAAGTTCTGGGCCTGAGTGTCCTGACTCTGGCCACTGCAGCACCCTCTTCTAGTATCAAGGGGCCACTCACACTATTGCCCTGCCTTCTTTTAAATCAGTGGTTCTCAATCCCTGACCTGGGCAACATAAAAAACACAAAAAGGCTGGTGCCTGGGCCTTATGCCTACAGATTCTGCCTTAACCTGTGTGAGGGGGATGCAGGCATTGGGAGTTTTGAAACCTCCCTCAAGTCAATTAGCCTGGTTTGAGGGGTGCTGCTGAATGTTCCCTTCTATCCAAGGAGACTGATCTTGGATAAACCCACTTCCTGCCCCTGAGGCTCTTCTAGGGTGGGATGGGAGGATGTATAGGGGCCTGTGGTAAAAACTACTGCTCTCCCAGAGTGAGAAGATTCTAGGAGGATGTGAAAGTTTGCTCCAGGTGCCAGTCAACATGGCAAGCAGCACTGCATGACCTGTAGGGGGTGCTAAAGAGACCAAGCATTTATCCACCTGGTGAAGGTTAAGGCCCAGAGAATGGAAAGGAGGCTAAGAATGTTTTCTAAATGTTAGCAGTGGTGATCTCAGGGTGGTGGGATTAAGGCTGGCTTTCTCCCTACTTAAAAAACATTGACTTGGCTCATCTTTGCTGTAAAACCCATGTGTGGGTCTATTGGTGCAGAAATATTAAGACATAAGTCCTACCCTTAGGATTTATAAAATATTATCTGAATTGGGGTCATTGTTTTATCTGAATGTTTGGGCTTTCCAAATAGTCACCAGTCAGCATGTTTGACTTTTGTAAAGATTTTTTTTTGGGGGGGGGACGGAGTCTCACTCTGTCGCCCCCAGTAGAGTGCCATGGCTCACAACAACCTCAAACTCTTGGGCTCTAGTGATCCTCTTGTCTCAGCCTCCCAAGTAGCTGGGACCCAGGTGCCCGACGCAACACCTGGCTGTTTTTAGAGATGGGGTCTTGCTCTTGCTCAGGCTGGTCTAGAACTCCTTAGCTCAGGCAATCCACCTGCCTCAGCCTCCCAGAGTGCTAGGATTACAGGGGTGAGCCACTGCCCCTGGCCTCTGTAATGATTTTTTTTTTTTTTTTGAGACAGAGTCTCACTATGTTGCCCACACAGCAACCTCAAACTCTTGGACTTAAGCGATTCTCTTGCCTCAGCCTCCCAAGTAGCTGGGACTACAGGCACCTGCCACAATGCCTGGCTATGCTTTGTTGCAGTTGTCGTTGTTGTTTGGCAGGCCTGGGCTGGGTTTGAACCTGCCAGCTCCGGTGTATATGTCTGTCACCCTAGCCGCTGAGCTACAGGTGCTGAGCCTGATTTTTTTTTAAAGTAATAGAAGACATGGTCAAACCTGTTAGACTGTGACTTAATACAAGGACAGGAACTATTTGTTATTCATGTTTGTCCCTCAGGGCATTGCCCTAGGGTCTGCCACTTAATGGGTATTTAATACAAGTTGGTGAATGAATATGTGACCTTTGACCTCATTTCAGTTCTTCCAAGAATTTAGGACTAGTTCATAAATAAAATCTCAAGATAGCACCATAATTAGTTCTGGGTATATCACTAATAATATTCAACTAGAGCCTGTAGGCAAACACAGAACACAAACTTCTGGGGAACTGATTTTTAAATAATATAACCCATAGCCTCTGAGAGAGGATGTTCTTAGTGTGTAAACTCTGGAAGGAGACAGAGCACGCGGTGTCCAGGCATACTCTCTTGCCTTGGACAACATTCTTAAGCAACTCTAGCCTCAGTATTATCCCTGCAAATTGGGAATAATAATGGCCACCTCAAAGAGTTGTTTGATGTAAGGGCTTATTTGATGAAGATTCATTGAGTTGACCCTTGGTGGTGGTGACTGGGTGAGGAGTGAGGCCAGCTTGCTCACTGCCCTCTGTGGGCCAGCAGACTTTCGGGGAAGACAGAATTAAAGGACATTTGCATTTGATGCAGTGCCTGACGAGTGTTAATGACCAGCCTCTGACAAACCAGGAGCACTATACTCTCCCACCACACCCCCACTCGCTCAGGACTCGGGTAGAAAAAAACTGGAGGATGCTGCCAACTTTGTTCAATGGCCTGTATTTCCCATCATGATGGTGACCCACGAGGGAGCAAGATACTGAGTCTATGCCAGGAGTGTCACAGAGGAGCCTAATGACAAAATGGAAGGGATGAGTCACTGGCTCACATGTTATAGAATTTTAAGTAGCGCTTCATAAGCCTCCACTGTGGCAGTAGCTGCTATTAAAAAAACACCCCAAAGTACTGCTTAAAGAAATTCTGGCCTTATTCTTTTTTCTCATCACACTGCCCTGCCCCAGCTGTGTTAAGTATATTATTAAACACATACACTGTTGAAAAGCAAATATTCCTAATTTGGGTGTAGACTTTAGCAGGGACGTTGGAAAGAAAGGTTGCCAGTGAGGCTTTAATGCTGTTCTCTAGCTGAACAGGATCTGTGGAAGTCATCACTCTTCATTTTTCTGCCTCTTTCACTGGCCCAGGAGGGGCCACCCCCACTCGGCACAGGTGCTGCTGATAATGGTAATAATCACATCTGTGGAGCACTACAGATGTGGTAAACCGGTCGTGAACTCCTTCATTTGCTACTCCAGAACCCTGGAGGAAGTGCAGTGTTGTTCATCCCCATTTCCTGGACGAGACAGGGAAGTGAAGTGTCCAATTGTAGAGTGGCAGAGGACTGGATCTGGGAGCTCTTGAATTTCAGTTCACTGCTCTTCCCATCCCAGCATTCTGTGCAGTGGAGGGGCATCCTTGGCCCCCTACCTTTCTCTCCATCCCATCTCTACCCATTCTCCTCTTGAAAATCCTCTACCAAGGATAAGACCCACACTAATGTTTTTCCTAACTTTGACTCTGGATTAGGTTCATAGAAGATTCCTCCCTCATTTTTCCTCCTCCTACTTTGAAGCAAATCAGAGTATGGACTAAAAGTGGATCATGACACCCTTGTCACATGGTAATCCAATTACCTATGTATTTGTACCTACAGAAGGACAAGGACCATGTTGTTTTGTTCACTAATCCACCAACTGTGGTCAAGCTTAGCACAGTACCTGGCACATAAATGCTCCACTGATATTTGTCAAATCGATGAAAATTGAATGTGATGGGACGCTAATTTGGAGAAGG